TTTCTGGAAATTTCCCTTGATTTACTGGAGGGCTCTTCCTTATCTCAATGAATAAATGGTCTTATCTATGGCTGTAAGTGAATGGAGTAAAGAAGAGCAATGGCCCACCGAGGACTTCACAATTTTTGCAGCATGCTTCTTTCTGGTGCATGTTTGGGGACCTAAGGATTGCTCATAGTCTAATGGGAAGATATGAGGGCATCTCTGAGCAACATTCATTATCTCTTGCTATTAGAATATAAAAACAGTTTATTTCCCCAATCCCATTAAGCCCCAAAGTTATGAACCTGCTCCCATTTTATTTATTTTTTAATCCTTATGCGAGGACATGCTTAGAGAGAAGAAGGGGGAGGAAGGTGGGGAGAGAGAGAGAAACATTGATGTAAGAGATAAACATTGATTGGCTGTCTCCCATATGCACCCTAACCATAGACTGAACCCACAACCCAGGTATGTGCCCTGACTGGGAATCTGGAATCAAACTGGAAACCTTTTGGTCCACAGGACAATGCTCCAAGCAACTGAGCCATTCTGGCTGGGAGAGCCCATTCCCATTTTAAATGATAAAACTAACACATAAATCAGACAGAGATAACTTCCCTTAGCAAAGTTCTATTCACTTTTGTTTCCTCTAGAAAAATGATTCATTCTTATGTGAGCTTACTTCTTTTGTAAACCTTCCTAAAAGCCCCAAGGATCACTAACAGAATCTGTCCAATTTTCCCCCCTATAGTGGCAAAGTATAAACAAGCCTGTACTCTGACATCGAAGTTTTCACTGGCAATGGCATAACCATGCTCATCAGCTTTCTATCTTACAGCATTTTTTCCTTGCACCTTTACCCTGCCTTTAAGCTAATCCCTCGTGTTTGGGGATTTTAATGGCAGTTCGCACTTCTACAGACCGATTTCAAAATTCAACTGAATCGTAACAATGAGATTTAATGTTCAGTGAGGTAGGAAGTGGTTTAGAGTAAGTCTGTTCCAGTGTGATCAGTTAGAGACAAGTTCCTCCTATACTGCAGGCCATGACCTCCTAAGGCATTGCCTTTCTTTGCACGGTAGACACTAGGTTGTCACTTTGAATGCACTCTACCCCCTGAGGGGCTTGTTCTTCAATTAGAAATGGCCTCAAGGTTGCCACCCTCACTTCTCTGCATATCCCATGTTTCCTGACTTAGTCACAAGGGTACATACAGCTGCAAGGGTGGTTGGGGGTGTATTTTTTGTCCACCTAAAATATTCTCTTACAGAAGAAATGAGAAGTAATATTTGGATAAGCAAAGGTATTCGCTCTGGCAGGGTCCATTATCATTATTTTCCATGATTTTGCATTATCCATTATTTCACAAATGTCTTATATGTTCCACTTTCCCCCTTTTAGACTTCAAATTCCCTCTTAGTGTGTATATGTAATTTATGATAGACAATAACTGCAGCTTCTGTGTCATGGTCTCTCTCACTGCTGTTCTTTTTCCCCCCTTCTCTTGTCTTCATCAATTAAAATTAAAATTGAAAACTAATGAGAAACATAGGAATATCACATGATAGATTTGGGGGGCTACTGGTCTTCATATAACACGCTTTGGGAAGCATAATCAGGCTTAGTCACAGAAAATGATCGATTGTGAGGAAGGCAGGGAAGAACTTCCAGCACAGTCCCATTCTTCTTTCATTTCTCTAAATGGGAAATGCTGCCTGTTAGAGCATATGCTCAGGGCTGCCACTTCTTGTCATCCAGGGAATCAATGTAACAATTCTCAGGAATGTGCTACACATAAATGAGGGTTCTCCATTGGGTTGCATCATTTTTATTAAGATAAGCATGTTGGGGGGAGGTATGGGGAACATCTGTAGTAGTGTCAACAATAAAAATTTTAAAAAGCATGTGAAAGAAGAGATAAACATCCAGCCACTAGCCAATGGCCTTAGATTTCTACAATCTCAAGTCATTAGAAAGATGGGAAGAAACCATACTGTCATACATTTTTTTCCTAGGTAGTTTGTATATAGATATCCTGGGCAATGAAGGCTGAGCCACATAATCTTTGCATTATCAGTTACCTCCCAGAACAAAAAAATGGCCAGACATCTCTCTTCATCTCTAATATATTGACTGTTCCTTTTTTTTTTTTCTTTTTTTGCTTCTCTTTAGTTACTATTGATGAAATATCAAGTATTTAATGTAATGAGACCTATGAAATTGCCTTGAAAAAAATGACAACCACATAATTTTAGACTTTTCTTCTTTCCTTTTACCCTAACCCTTTGGCATCTATCACCCACCCTCAGCTCTTATACAACTTGATATTTGATATAAAGCCATTTCTTTGCCACACTTCTATACACTAAAAAGAAATTTGTAATCTTGAGATAGCTGATAAATTATAAGATTTAGGCAGAAGAATTTAAATGGAGCTTATTTGAAGTTAAAATACAGTGTATTATAAATATTAATAAATCCCTAAGTAAATAAAAAAATGCATTCATTATTCAATAACTCAGCTCAATTAAAATAATTTCCATCTTTTATATATTATTTTTAAAAAGTATAACTTGGTTGCCTTAGGCTACTCATGTAAATGCTATCTAATCTTCCTTAATCTTCCTATGAGCAATCTAGTCTTTTATTCCACAAATATTCATTGAGCAGCTATCATGTGCCAAGCATTGCTCTAGACCAATCCACCTGGAACAATAAGAGCAAGTGAGCTAAGGAGAGACCAGATTCTATCCCAGGAAACTGTTACATTCTACAGGTGGGGAACAGCCAAACAAGGGAATAAACAAGTGTGTTTGGTTATATAATCTGTAGAGTAGTGATTGATAAATGTTAAGATAAACAAAGCAAGGTAAGGATGAGTGAATTCTAGCTTAAATAGATTAGTGAGAGAAACCTCTCATAAAAGACATTTGAATGAGTTCTGAAAGAATAAGAGAAGAGACAACTGAATATTTAGGAACAGTGTGTACCAGGTGGTGGGATAACAGATGAAAGGGTGCTGAGACGGAGTTGTGTTTGTCATGTTCAGCTAGGAGGCTAAAGTGCCCTGAGCAGAGTGAGAAAAGGGGAAAGGAGGAGAGGTAGGTCTGAGACCTACTAGGGGGCCAATGTGTAGGCAAGATAAGATTTTTACATTTTTTTCTAAAGAATTTGGGAAGCTATTGATAGGTTTTGAGTAGAGAATTAATATGATCTAATTTGCCTCTATAAGAATTACCTTGACTGCTATGCAGAAAATTGAAACTGAGGAAGCAGAGCACAGAGACCAGTTAGAAGGATATTGTATTTGTTTAAGTGAGGTGGTGAAACCAACCACATTCATATCTGTGGAGATGTTTAGACATGTTTAAACTCTGGATATATTTTGCAAGTAGGAGTGAAAGAATTTGCTGTTGGATTAAGCATTAGATGTGAGAGAAAAGGAAAAGACTCCACAGTTTTTCAGCATGAGTAACACTAATTAAGGTGTCATTTATAAAAATGGGAAGAGTACAAAAGGAGCAAATCTGAGTGGGAAAGAATATCAAATACTTTTTTATTGATTTTAGAGAGAAGAAGAGAGAGAGAAACATCAATGTGAGAGAGAAACATCAATCAGTTGCTTCCTGAATGCCCCCTACCAGGGACCAAGGCCAAAACCCAGGCATGTGCCCTGACCAGGAATTGAACCTCGATCTCCTAGATCATAGGTTGATGCTGAATCAACTGAGCCACAGCAGCCAGGGCAAATTTTTATAGTTGGATATGTTAAATTTGACATCCAAATGTAAATGTACAGAAGGTGACTGGTTATGTTAGACCAGAGTCAAGGGGAGGTGCCAAGGCTAGGCACAAAACTTGGAGATCATCAGAGTAGAGACGGTTTAAAGCCATAGGAAGAGATAAGACTGCCTATGGAGTATCAATAGCAAAAATAAATAAATAAATCTAATAAATGAGCCCCAGTCGTCTTCAGGATTAAGTGGTGGGAAAATAGAAAGGTGCTGGTGGAGAAGACAAGGAAGTGAAGTGAACTAAGGAGATCCAAGAGAAAGAACATCACAGAAGCAATTGAAGTGTTTGAAGGAGCAGAAAGTGATCAGCTGTGTTAAATGGCGCTAAGGTAAAATGAGGACCTAGTCTTGACCATTGGATTTAAAAATGTCAAGATGTTGACAAGAGCTGTTTCAGTGGAGAAAACAGCCTGACCGGAATGTCTTCAAAACCATATGAAAGGAGAGGTAGTGAGGAAGAGTGAATGAATCACCACTTTTCAGGCAATCTTTCTGTACAGGGGAAGAGAAAAAGGTAATTACTCGAAGGAGATCTCGGGGTAAAATGAGAGCTTTTTGAGGATGGGAGATATGTCAAATGCTTGGATGCTAATAGGAATGATGCCTTAATGGGGGAAACTGCTCCCGTAGGACAAAATGATGACAGTTGGGGTGGGGGAAGGCTAAGTAGCTTCAGTAAGAAATGGAGGAAGAACTTTTTCTCAGTTACTGAAATGGAGAAGCGTCTAGCAAAATGTTAAGTAAAAAGAAACAGCTTATATCTTTGAGAACTGCATGGACATGCTGTGGAAGGGCGAAAGGGGAGTATAAATATAATTTCAGTGTTTGGAAATGAAGATGAAATTGATGCATATTTTTTTAGGGTAACAGCATTAAAAGCCATACACTATTGACCAGATTGTCATCTTACATAGCACCTTTTCTTGGAAATAGGCCTTTTATAACTCTCCTCTTGGACAAATTTTGAAAATTATACTTGTACTTTAGGGAAATTTTATTTATAAATTGAAAGAGCTAAAGAAGCACTGAGGTGGCATGAGAAAATTGTAGCACTCCTTGTCAATAACCTGTACTTTTCTTCCTATTTCTTTAAGATTGTGTTTTATGCCTACAGGTTCCTGGGATACTAGTTTAGCACACATTTTGCTTTCAAATTCCATATGAATTTCTGGGTTGATCCCTCCTGATTACAGTAACATTGATTGCTGTCTAAATCTGTTGCAGTGTGCCTGAATACTATGACTACGGTCATGGAGTAAGTGAGGATGCCTATGACAGCTACGGTAAGACCTTTTCTTTACTAAAACTGTGAAATCAGAACATCCATCAGCCACTGACAACTCAGAAATTACTTCTATCTTTCTCCCCCCCAGTTCTTACAGAAGTCCAGACTCAATTGATTTATGTAATTCCAGGGTGAGATTTGACGTACAGAGCCAGTGCCAGAAAATTGGACAGATCAATTTTGATCAATATTTCAAAAGCAATTATTCACAATCATAGATCATTTTCAACAGCCACAGTGAGCATTCTGAATAGTGTTTTATATGTTTCACTGTGTCCATTGTCTGACTCATTGATTTGATAGTAATCATGTGTCTTTCCTGCTTTCACAAATTTCATACAGTTAAAATATTTTAAAAACTTTTAAGGGCAGATATCATACCTTTCAAATTATTTAATATAGTGTGTGTTGTTCTTAAAATGCTTGGCTCATAAGAATTAATATTCAATAAGTATATTAGCCTATAAAATTAATTTCAAAAAATGCATTGCTTAATTAAGATACATAACACTTAAAATTAATTGTAATTCAATTCAGTAAGATTTTTGCCCAATGCCTGTGAAATACATAAATATAGTACATCACTTTAAAGGGTAGTTGCTGCTTTCTTAAAGTACATCTGCAGCATCAACAGATGACCACCTTGAAAAACACTGGAAAGTGTTTCCAGTTCCAGATTTGTATTAAAATAATGCAAGGGCCACTCTGCTCCTATTTATGCGGAGCAGTAAAGGAGATGATGTATGTTCCCTGTGTGGGGCTCCACATGATGAAGGTGTTGTGCTTCATCAGGATGGAGTTTGGACAGTCCAGACACGGGAGGAAAGGAGGAATTACACCCTCCCTGGACTCACAGTCATCAAATCGACTCATTTCTCTCACTGGAATATCACTAGGCTGAGTGGAAAAATAGGGGCGTAAAAGTAAACCAACACTACAATGATTGCCATTCATAAGCTGGAGGAGCTGGAGTCTGGGAAAGGTTACTTATATATTTATTCTCATGTATTTCTTTATAATAAATTGTAATAAGTATTTTTATCTCCATTTAGTAATGAGGAAACTGAACCACAGAGGTTAAGTCAACTTCTGTTTTTATATTCTCATCAATGGTAAGAATGCTATTAATTAATTGCTGCTCCCACACATGGGGTACCTATTATAGCTCTGTGCTAAGCAGTGCCTAATGAGGATTAGGAGATAATCCTCATTACACATTATACGTATATCTATATAACCAATCCCCATTAGTATCCTGCAGGGTACATAGTCACATTGTCATCTGCATTTTACAGATGAGAAACTAAGGCTTAGGGCATGAAGTATTCCACAGGAAAAAACAAAGAATTAGCATAAAATGAGTACCAGGCTCACTCTTTCCCAGACTCCAGCTCCTCCAGCATCAGTCACATGGACCTAATCTCTCGCTGCTCTGAGAGATAGGGATAGCCTCCAAAACAACTTAAAGATATTTTCAGAAATTATTTCACAGATATAATAGGTGATGGACAAGTTTGCATAGATCCAGCCCAGCTGGTGAGCTGCCACAGAAAGTACAGCTTAAATTTTGTTCTCTGTATATTTTTCGCTCATTGGCATCATCTGGTCTTTAATAAGAGCAATCACATCCCAAAACCAGGCCATCCCCACATCCACGGGCCAGCCAGGCTTGAGCTGAGAGATTGCCTACCACCCTAAGGCAGCCCCGCCTAACACTGCAGCATTCTCTGAGCTCAGCACAGCAAAAAGTATATCTCCATGGTTCCAGCACATTCTTAATCAAATGAGAGTCAAGCCACATGCCTCGTAAGATTAGCTACTGGGGATGATAGATGAATAAGGCCTTTCTTTAAGTCATTCAACTTCGGTTCAGTGCACATGAGTATTGTTAAGCTCTAAGAATACACGGTAGACATTGTCCTTCCCTAGGTTCTACTGTCTACTGTTGAGAAACATGGCTACATGTAAAAAATTCTGCCACATTATAAGCCATGGAAGTGGTAGTTCTATAGAAGGTCAGAGAACATTACTCTTGAATATGTATTTAATGGCTAACACACGTAAGCCATGGTGCTCAATCCTGGGCATACTACAGTGAACAATCTCCTGAAGCTTCAGGTAATTGTTCACGTGAGCATGTAAGCTTCAGGAGATTGTTCTGAATAATGTCTTCAGAAGAAGACATTATTTATGAATCACTTTTTAAAAATGACATTTCATTTGCAAAATACACTTATTTTTTACACTTGTCACATCAACTTGAGAAAAATCACACCTATGAACTTTATAGCACTACACACACTAAAACCAATGGCAGGGATGGAGTAGATACATACTGGGTAGCTGGGAATGGGAGATGAGGTTTCTATTTCTAAATTCTTTATATTTTATTTTTTATTAAATTTATTAGGGTGATGTTGCTTAATAAAATTATATGGGTTTCAAATGTACAATTCTATAATATGCCGTCAGTATATTGCACTGCGTGGTTACCACCTAGAGCAAATCTCCTTCCGTCACCATATATTTACCCTCTTTATTCTTCACATGTTACTACCATCTACGGCAATAGGGAAAGTGTGTAAATATGAACTTGCTTCTCAGACCTACCGGAAATGCAGGCACCATGGTCAGGAGATCTAGGGTCACCTCCATACCCCACGGGTCTTAACATTGGTTTTGGGGGGTGGTTTTGCTTTTTTTATGCTGAGGAAGGAGGTCGTTCACTTGCCAGGATTCCAACAGCCCAAACTCATCACAATGCCCATAATCCTCTGGGCTCACTGTGACCCATCTGTGCTAAACGCTGGGCAACAGAATAGGGTCAGGGAACTCTGAACAAAAGCACTTAAGTTTTAAATGACCCAGATGTGAATTAATTTTATTTTGTAAGAGTTATTTTTGCCACAGGTGTTTAGAAATCTAAGTAGATACATAAATCTGGTTAACCTAAAAAATAAGTTATTGCCCAGCCAGATGTGGCTCAGCGGTTGAGCACCGGCCTGGGATCCAGGAGACCGTGGTTCGATTCCCGGTCAGGGCACATGCCCGGGTTGCGGGCTCCATCCCCAGTCGGGGGCGTGCAGGAGGCAGCCGATCAATGACTCTCTCATCACTGATGTTTCTCTCTCTCTCCCCCTCTCCCTTCCTCTCTCTGAAATCAATAAAGATATATTTTTTAAAAAACAAATATAAGTTATTTATTTTCTTACTGCATAAATTATCCACATACAGTATAAGAAAACTGAGGTCCAAAAAGAAGGAAATTTAAATCACCCTAAATTACACTACTATAGTTATTCATTCTTTACATTTTGTTATACATTTTACCAATTTTTATCATCATGATACATGTTTTATTTTAAAAGAGAACACAGCTTATCCCTTTTATAGTTTATCTTTAATGACTTGTTCACAATCTTTTCATCAACAATATTTATTCCAAAATGTAAACCATGTGCATCTCCATTTAGACTGCTTTATAAATATTCCTTTAAGATTTTTCTATCATAAAAAAAGAAGATAGATTTTCTTTCATTTCTTAATCATTAAGATTGTAACTTGACAAAATGCAGAGTTTAAAATATTTTCACATGTGATATCAGAACTAACAATATGCTCGGTCAAAAAGGGATACTCCTTTCCTTGTGTAAGCAGGAAATAAAGAAAATACTTGCATGTTGATCTATATGGTCATGAGGTTTAAATTTGGATAATTCCCTTACTCTCATATCCTACACAGACAATAGAAAAAGGGGCAGGTCAAATGACAATAAAAGCAAGACCTCAGCATCATAACCTTGATGCCTAATTATATTAATACACATTTCTTACACTCAGCTTTTGGTACTAAGTATTATGTAGAGGGAGATTCAAGTACGGGGTTCTCACTAATGGGTTGCTCATCCTATGACATCCAAATAGGCAGAGGAAAAAAATTAAATACGCATATGGAACAGTGATTTGAGGATCCTCTTATGTCATATATAGATTGATGTTTTTAGTTAATTTTCCATACCTTACATATGAACTAGTATCCCTTTTATAGTTTATCTTTAATGAAATGTGCACAATCTTTTAATCAACAATATTTATTCCAAAATGTACATCTCACATCTCCACTTGTTCACTTCCATTCTGAATTAGTAATTTCTCTCTTACATTTTGGCTGTATATGGGCACAGATATTAAATGGAATGTCTGTATTTTTATAAAATCAATAGTCCCAATTCTCAGTTTCCTGGCAACACCCTGGACTCAGACAATATGTGGGGAGGCTCATGGTCAGTGGCCGCAGACCCCCTCCTCTCCTGCTCAGGTTGACGGGAAGGACTGTGGGGCGAGCAGAGGTAGGAGGAAGGGAGGAAGCAGCAGTCCCCGAGGTCACTGTGTACTGCCTGCAAAACACTCACGGACTGCATCTCTCATTCAGGGTTCATTCAGAAACGGTCTTAAATTAACCACTAGAAGTAAAAATCCGATCAGTGTGACACTTCACTCTGAATTTTCATGCATTGTGTTGTTTGCATCACCAGATGAAATTGTATTTGTTTATTAAAATGTATTTAATGTATGAACTGAAGAGCTAATTACACATTCATTCCTTCAATTCATATTGAAGGAACAAATATGTTGATTTCCAAGAAAATCAAGTATCCTTTTGGGCTTCATAGCAATTAAATTATCCAAGATATTTGCAGAAATTTAAGATTAAATAATAAACTATTTTTCTAATAGCAATGTAAATATAAATTTTTAAATATTTAAATAAATATCTAAGATTAAAGTACAAAATAATTATTATATTATTTAATATTTGATGTGTTAATATTTAGTAAATATTTAATTAATGTTCAGTAATTATCATTTTATTAACACTTAAGTATTAAATTTCTGATAACTTGAGTTTATTTTTGGAACCTGAATACTGGACTTACAAGAATTTCAAATCACTTTCTGCATTTTTAAGATGTTTCCTAATTTATAAGTCATTATAGT